GCGGCCGGGGGAGGCACGGGGTGCGCTCGGCACGGGCTCCTCGCCGCCACCCCCACCCGCGCCGCCCGCGCTCTCGGAAGCGTCCGGAGGAGGGTCTCGGGGTCCGGCTGGTCGCTGCCCGCGGGCCGTCCGAAGACTGGGCTCATCCGGTGCGACAGCCCTGCCCCGCCCGGGGGGAGGGGCCGGGCCGGCCCGGGACCCAGAGGCCGCCGCCGCGCACCCGGAGAGGCTGCACCGCCGCCCCTCCCGTCCCCTCTCCGGCCTCCCGGGACCCGCAGCGACCCCAGCCCCCCCCCCTCCACCCCCGGGCCCTCCTCTGGACGCCTCCGGGTCCCCCGCGTCGGCCTCCCTGGGTCCCGGCGCCCCGTCCTCCCGCCCACCGCTGCCACCTCGCGCAGGGCTCCCCGGGCCTCTCCCGGCCCCCGACCCCCTGCCCCGGGTCCCCGGAGCCGCCGCGGTCGGGCCCCCCGAGCCCCGCGGACATGCTCGGGCTGCTGGCGCTGCTGCTCCCGCTGCTGCCGCCGCCCGCGCGCGCCCAGGAGCCCTCCGCGCAGGACGTGAGCCTGGGAGTGGTGAGCGCGGGGTCTGCGCGCCCCTGGGGAGTGCGGGGGTGGGGGGGGAGGGCGCCTGGGTCCGGAGGAGGGGGCTGATTCCAAGTCGGAGCGCCGGGGGATGGGGTCTGGGGACCCAGATTCTCGGACCCATGAGGTTTGGGGCTGGGATTTGAAGATCTATAAAGGGCTTGGGGCGGGGAGGTGGAGACCAGGACCGATGGATCTAGGCAGAGCCCAGGGCTGGAGAGACCGGACTCTGAGAGGGACAGCAGGCAGTGGCCGGGGCTGGGACCCCTGGGCTCCGGATGCCTGGGTGGCTGGCGAGGGTGGGGCTCCCAGGATGGAGACGGGAAGGGGGAGTCTCTGGCACTCTTCCCCCTTCACCTGTTCCTTCCTGCGGCCTAGGACTGGCTGACCCGCTACGGCTACCTGCCGCCACCCCACCCTGCCCAAGCACAGCTGCAGAGCCCTGCGAAGCTGAGGGATGCTATCAAGGTCATGCAGAGGTTTGCCGGGCTGCCTGAGACAGGCCTCCTGGGTAGGTAGACAACCCCCCCCCCGCCCCCGCCCTGCCCCTGCACCCAGCGGTTTCTAAACCTCCCCACACACCTGAATCCCGGGAGCTATGAAAATGCTGATTCCCCGGGACCAACCCAGGAGGTTCTCAGGCATTTCTTTTTAGTAAATAGTTACTAAGAGTCTCTAATGTGTAAGGCCGTTTCTGGCTCTACTGGTACAGTGATGGACAAAGCAGAAAAGGTCCCTGCTCTCATCCCTGTAGAGAAGAGAGACAGACGGATCAAGACTCGAAATAGGCCAGGTCATTTCAGATGGTGATTCGTGTTTTGAAGAGAATAAAATGCTGGTCAGGGAACATCCCTCTGAAAGGGGTCATAAGTTGAAGGGAGCTCATATGAGACAAAGAACCCAGGGGACACAAATAAGAGGCGCCAGCCATGGGAAGATGGAGAAGAGTCCCAGGCAAGTGCAAAGGCCCTGTGGTAGCCACAAGGTGTTGTGCCTGTAATGAGAGGAAGATTGAAAAGCTAAGCAAGAGCCTGACTGGGGGATGGGGGGGGGGGGTGTGATGCTTGAAAGAAGTTTGGGTTTGATTACAAGCATGATAAGCAGCCACCAGAGGATTTGAAGGAGGGAGACAACTGGACTGAATTTACAGTTGTAAGCTTCCTCTGGTTGCTGATGGAGAGTGGAGACCAGGAAGGAGGGAGCTGAATTCAAGGTGCATGTTTTGGAGGTAGAGCTGAGAGGCTCGTCGCTTGGGTAAGATGGGGAAGAAGGGAACCGAGGGCGCGCTGGCCGGCCACAGGAGGAGATAGGACCTCTCGGTGCCCTGTTCCCCGCCGAGTAGTGTCTGGATCTGTACGTGCTCGATTGCCCTTTGTCACCTGACCAGTGGTCAGCTTTGACCTTCACTTGAAGACGAGGGGACAGCTGGGAAGGGAGCCGAGCTAGGACCGGGGATTCCAGGCAGGTCTAACCTGGGAGACCAGAGACCCAGCCCGCCTGGGTCTCTGATGCGGTGAGGCCTGGGGACCTATGGTGTCAGGTGTGTCAACCGCCTAGGGGGCTCCAGCCTCAGACGAGTCCACACGGCACCCCATGGCTCCTTTCTGCCACATCCGATCACCAGGGCTCAGGGAAGCAGGACCCCAGACCCCAGATCCGAGCACCGCATGGAGGCAGCAGTCCGTCCAGGGCCCGGTGAAGGCTGGGGCGCTGTCCTGAAGAGCTGCGTTGTCCTTTGGGACCAGCTGGCTTCCGGAACTGGGCAGCCTGCGTGCAAATCCAAGCGGCGGCGGCGGGGCCCTCTTGGGCCTGCGGTTCAGCCTCTCTGAGCCTGTTGGTCCGTGGAGAAGCGGCTGGGTCCGTGACTAGAGCCGTTTGTCCTCCTGCTGATTCCCTTGCCCTGCAACCCCTCCCACAGACCCGGTGACCATGGCCACCATGCACAGGCCCCGCTGCTCCCTGCCTGATGTGCTGGGGGCGGCAGAGCTGGTGAGACGTCGTCGCCGTCGCCGGCGCTACGCCCTGAGCGGCAGCGTGTGGAAGAAGCGAACGCTGACGTGGAGGTAGGAGACGGTGTCCTCCCCACCCTGGCCCGCCGCCTGCCGGGCCCAGCCTCCAAGGGCTGCCTTCTGTCTCCCCAGGGTGCACTCCTTCCCCCAGAGCTCGGCACTGAGCCAGGAGATGGTGAGGACCCTCATGCACCACGCCTTGACCACCTGGGGCGTCGAGTCAGGCCTCAAATTCCAGGAGGTGGGCTTTCAGAGCCCAACGGAGCCCGACATCGTCATCGACTTTGCCCGGGCGTACCACCAGGACAGTTACCCCTTCGACGGGCAGGGAGGGACCCTAGCCCACGCCTTCTTCCCCGGGGAACACTCCATCTCTGGGGACACGCACTTCGACGACGAGGAGATCTGGACTTATGGGTCAAAAGGTACGACCTTCCGAGACGTCCTCTCCCCGAGTCTGTCTGTCCCTATGAAATCACACGTATCGATGGACGCTGTGTCCGTTGGGTTTCTCTAGAGCGACAGAACCAGTAAGGATGCTTGTGTGTGCGCGCGCGTGTAAGTGATTTATTTTAAACAACTGGCTCGTAGGATGGGGGAGGCTGGCGAGCCTAAATCTGTAGGGCAGTCCTGCAGGCTGGAAATTCAAGTGAGAGTTGATGTGGCAATCCTGAGTCCGATGTCTGCAGGCCAGGCCGGTTCGCCTGAAACCCAGGCAGGCTTTCTGTGTTGCAGTCTGGAAGCAGAATTCCTTTCTCCCCCTGGGAAGCCTCAGGTTTGCTCTTAAGGCCTTCAACTGATCAGACCAGGCCCGCCCACCGTGGAACACTGTCTACTTTACTTGCAGTCAACGGATCGTAGATGCAGAGCCCATCTACACCATACCCCAAACAGCCACACCTGGCCTGGTGCTCGGCTCAACAACTGGGCGCCACAGGCTGGCTCAGCAGACACGCAAAATCACCCATCACAGAGGCCTCTCGGGTGTCCAGCGCCAAGCTGGAGCTGAGGACCGAGAGATGGGAAATCAGCCGTGCGCAGCACCTGAGTCAGAAGGGTAACCGGCAGTTGCTACACACGGTGATGCGGCTGCGGAAAATCATAGCAGAGGAAGTCCCGGAGGACCACGGCCTCGAGCGGAGGCCCGCCCAGAACCTTTGACGGACGGGGCTTCCTAGAAGGGGTGACTTTGTTTATTCCACACACGTGTACCGCGTGCCGACTAGCCCACCAGGTCCCGCTGTCCCCGAGTGCGTGGGGGTGCGGGGTGGGTGCAGAGGACAAAGCGCAAGCCACTGAGCTGGCTGACACAGGGTAGTCAGGGCTAGTGGCACAGGGCGGGGGGGGGGAGGGCTGTTTAGTCGGATGGGCAGGGACCGGGATCCCCCTGGATCCTGGCGGCAGAGGGGACGGACAGGAAGGGGTCTTGTTCATGGCCGTGGGAGGTGCCGCAGGAGGAAGAGCCGGCCCTTGGAGGGCAGGGTGACTTCACCTTGGCCTCGGGTTTGCACTGCTTGCGGGCCCTTCCGTGCAGGCGGTGCATTAGCGGTTGAGTGTCTTGCTTTAGAACTTGGACTTCTCTGGCTTAGGTCAGGTTCCCCAGAAGTGGAGCTCGAGTTGAAAAGTCTTGTGCAAGCAGTTTCGCAGGGTATGTTCTCAGGGGAAAGGGAAGCAAGAGAGGGCTGGGGAAAGAGGCTTAGCCAGGACGTGGTCTCAGCTGAGAGGAGCCTGAGCTCAGGAGCATGAATAACTCACAGGGTCGGTCCTGCCTGGGGGCTAGGGTTCCAGCTCTTCCAGTCTTAGCAATCCGCCATTGGCTGCGAGCTTCCTGTGGCCTGGAGGCTGGCCAGAAGGGAGAGCCATCTCCTGGGGAGGGGGGCAGCCAGAGGATGGGCGCACAGGCTCTGTAGGGTTTGGGCGAGGTGCCCACAGCATGCACAGACCTGAGGCTGTGTCACGCAGCATTTAAGCATGCCGGCTTGAAGCGGAACTCAGGTGAGGGCTCCTCTGCTTGCCACGCATGTAAGTTTCTTGACCTCGATGTGCTCAGTTTCCTCGTCTGAGAAATGGGAGTTACAACAGTACCTGCTGGCAGGGTGGGCTTGCGGATCTAATAAGTAATTGACCTACGGCTGTCAGCACAGGGCCGGCCGGAAGTAACGCTCTGTTCATTGCCAGCTGCTATGAGCTGGGCCTCGTGGCAGATTAGAGGCAGTGGTACTCGGGGGGTGGCTAAGGCTCCAGGAGGAAAGTGTAGAACGTGAGGGTCAAGTATGGAACTGTGGAGAGCCCCACAGTTAAGGGGAGGGTAGCGGTGGGGGGGGATCAAAGGCAATGGAGAAAGAACGGGCCCACAGGTGACCAAGAACTAGAGCAAAGAAGGAAGTGGTCAGCAGTGGGCAGGGCAGCAGGTCAGTCCAGTAAGTTACATGGGCCTAGATCTGATCGTCTGGGGACAAAGGGACCTCGGTTGCCTGCAGCCTTGGCAGGTGGGGGAGGAGTCCCGACCACAGTGAAGTCAGACATGAGAGGGGTTGAGGAAGTGAACTCTGAGTTTACACCACTGACCACAACTTGCTAGGGAAGGAGAGGGGTGTGGATGGGGGCAGATATAGGTACGGAGAGGTACTGAGGTGATTTAGGATGAGGGTCTTGAGCACTTAGTGATGCTGGATGAGCCAACAGAAAGAAAGAGGTGTGGGATGGATGGATGGAAGGATGGATGGACGGATGGATGCACACATAGATGGATGGATGGATGGATGGATGGATGGATGGATGGATGGATGGATAGATGGACAGATAGATGGATGGATGGACAGATGGATGGATGGATGGACACATGGATGGACGGATGGATGGATAGATGAATGGATGGATGAATGGATGGATGAATAGATGGATGGGATGGATGGATAGACAGGTGGATGGATGGACAGATGGATGGATGGATGGATGGATGGATGGATGGATGGATGGACAGATAGACAGATAGATGGATGGACAGATGGACGGATGGATGGATGGATAGATGGACGGATGGATGGATGGGATGGATGGATGGATGGATGGATGGATGGATGGACGGACAGATGGACACATGGATGGATGGATGGATAGATGAATGGATGGATGAATGGATAGATGGATGGGATAGATGGATGGACGGATGGATGGATGGACAGGTGGATGGATGGACAGATGGACGGATGGATGGATGGATGGATGGATGGATGGACGGATGGATGGATGGACGGATGGATGAATGGACAGATGGATGGATGCATGCATGCATGGGCGGATGGGCAGATGGATGGATGAATGGACGGACGGATGGATGGATGGATGGAAGGATGGATGGATGGACAGACATACACAGGGATGCAGGGATGGATGGATGGGTTCTTGTCCTACAGGAGGTGAGCGAAGCAGGGGCCTCACATAGGGCAGGGCAGGAGATAGGAGGTGAGCACGGGGGAGATACAGCTGTCTGCCTGGGTGCACAGGAAGTTACAGATTACATCGGCCGGCGTGTCTTGATGAAATAGGAAACACATCTGACCTACTTGTCCTCTTAAGAGTTAAGGCTGGAGCTGGGGAGCAGCTTGAGGGGCTGTGGGCTTGGAATTGAGGCTAGTGGAGAGCTCAAAGGATCTGCCTGGTGAGGTCTAGAGCAGGACTGGGAGGAGGTATCGATGACCCTCGGAGAGCGGCCACCGGGAGTCTTGTGGACTAGGGCTGAGGCTGCGGTTGTGCAATTCCCCCAGCTGCATGGGAGGGGGGTGGTGAAGGGTGCAATGATGGGTGTGGCCAAAGGGGGAGGCGAAGCAGGGAAGGAGGGGGAAAGAGATCCACTTGTCATAAACACCCAACTTCCTCCAGTTTCTCAGAAAAGGGACTCAGTGCAGTAAGAAAACCCACAGTCCACACGGAGACCTGTCAGTACGGATGCATTTGGACCAAGGTCAGGTGAAGTTGCTGCTGAAAGGCACTAATTGGCCGTACTGTCATTTAACCTGACCGCCCCGTGCCTCAGTTTCCCACCCGTAAAATGAGGCTGGAAGGAAGAGGTTTACGAGATGTAAATGACGGCCCGTGTCACCGCTCGCTCACCCCTTCACGCTCACATTCTCGTCCAGCAGCCTTGAGGGGCTGAGAGAAATGTGCTTTCCGACTCACCGGGTCACTTCCGCCTTCAACACTGCTGACCCTGGTTAGGGATTTCCACGCGGCACATCAACATCTGGGCAGCTGCTCGCCTCTCTTGCTGTCTCGCTCCCTCGGCCTCTCGGGGCTGGAGGAGGAGCCGGCGGGCAGCCGCTGGGTCGATGAGGAGCTGGGGTTCGGCCAGCAGCTGGCAGTGGACACAGGCTCGCTCCTGGCGCCCAGGCTGGGTCCCCGAGGACGAGGCTGTGGTCAGAGAGGGTGGGAACGAGGCTGGCCGCCAGGGCCGAGAGAGCCTGCCTGAGGAGCCGTCTGAAGCTGGGGAGGGGGGAGGCTCCCGGAAAGGTGGATGGGGGTGTGGGCACTAGAGGGGCGTGCATGGGAGGAGGGAGTGGAGCACCATGAGCGTGGGAGAGGGACGAACGTCTTGGGAACCCCGGAACAAGGAGACTGAGCGACATTCCTTGTGGCTGGGGGCGTCTGGTCCCAGACGGCAGCCCGAAAGAGGGAGACTCCAAGGCTGGGGCTTCCTCCGGAGACCCGCGTGCACACCAAGGTTCCCGCTTTCCCCAGAGTGTTTCCGAGTGCACGGGCTTCCTTTCCAGGTGGCAGGAAGGCCACCCCTTCCTCTGTCCAGGCCATCTCCTCCTGCCCCTTCCCTGACCCGTTCTGCGGGTCTCCGGTCCTGTCCCCAAGTGTCCAGAACTGCCAGACCAGGCTACTAGAAAAAAACCTCCCGAGTAAGTGAACGCACCTAGGAAGGACAGTGACTCGGGGAGGGGTCTGGGTGTGGCCGTGTCTGGAGGGTCTCCCGCTGTCCAGCTGTCCCTCTGCCAGCAGGCCCCCCTCCGGGGGCTTCCTGGCCGCCTTCTTTTCTGGCGTGGGGGGAAGGGTAGAGCTCGAGCCCAGTCTCCCTCCTTCCCCAGATGGTGAGGGGACGGACCTGTTTGCTGTGGCTGTTCATGAGTTTGGCCACGCCTTGGGCCTGGGCCACTCCTCGGCACCGGACTCAATCATGAGGCCCTTTTACCAGGGCCCGGTGGGCGACCCCCACAAGTACCGCCTCTCCCAGGACGACCGGGAAGGCCTACAGCAGCTCTATGGTACAGGGGCTGGGGACCGGGGACGGTGGCTTGCCCTGTGGCCTCATCAGCAGAGTCGGGGGACTCATGCCTCTCTGGCTCTCTCTCCACAGGGAAGGTGCCCCAGACACCTTACGATAAGCCCACAAGGAAACCCTTGGCTCCTCCTCCCCCACCCCCTGCCCTGCCCCCAGACAGGTGAGTGAGGGGGGTGACCTCCCTACCTCGGCGTGGTTCTTGGTGAGGTGGGCTTGGTAAGAGTCCCTACCTCCCGGGGCTCTTCTCAAGGGTAAGTGAAGACACTAGGAGCCCTGACTCCTCTCTGCTCACCTCTCCTTTCCATTGTAGCCCCTCTCTCCCCACCCCTGACCGATGCGAAGGCAATTTTGATGCTATCGCTAACATCCGTGGTGAAACCTTTTTCTTCAAAGGTGAGTCATCTTAGATCTCCCCTGATGCAATGTAGTTGGCGACCTACCCCCTTAGGATGACCCACCAGTCCTGTGGGGTTTCCCAGGACTCGGGACTCTCAGTGCTGACAAAAAAAAAAAAAAAAAAAGGAAAGCCCTGGGGGTGCCTGGGTGGCTCAGCCTGTTCCTTTAAGTGTCTGACTCTCGGTTTGGGCTCAGGCCACGATCTCATGGTTGGTGAGTTCAAGCCCCACACAGGACTCTGTGCCACTGGTTGGGAGCCTGGAACCAGCCTACTTAGGATCCTCTCTCTGTCTCCTCTCTTCTTCCCTCCCCAGCTTGCTCTCTCTCTGTCTCTCTGTCTCTCTCTCTAAAATAAATAAATAAACTTAAAAAAAAAAAAAGAACTTAAAAAAAAAGAAAAGTCCTGGGAGAGCTGGTCACTCCAGAGCCCCTGCACCCGTGAAATCCCGATGGACTTCCTCGCCCAGCCGCCAGAGGGAGTCCCAGCACCCACTCTGAGAGAGAAGACTTTTTTTTTTTTTTTTTAATAAAGGAGCGCTGCTTCTTCTTCTTCTTCTTCTTCTTCTTCTTCTTCTTCTTCTTCTTCT